TTATTGATCCTTAGTTCGATAATATTCTTTTTAATTTTCTACAATAATATCATTGATATTACCTTCTTGGATTTTCTCTTCATCTTTGTATTATCATTAATACTACGTACCAAGGTTTTCTCTTGTATTTTATTTCTAATATAATATATTCTAAGATTTAATTAATTTTCAAAGATTTCATCATCATTGATACTATACTCCAAACATTCTACCATGAATAATTCTACGGTCTAAGATCTTTTCTTGAATTTTCTCACATTCTATCCTGATTTATGCTAGTTACTACCCTTCAAATTTCTAGCAAAATTATTGCTATACTCTTAGATATTCTCTTTGATTTTCTTACATAATACTGCATTGATGCTATAAGATTTTTTCTTTCATCTTTTTATTATCATGAACCATCTAAGGTATTCTTTTCATTAATTTTCAAAAATTATATCATTATTGACGCTACACTCTAAGATCTTCTCTTCAATTTTCTAATATACTTGACGCTACGTTCTGAGATCTTCTCTTCAATTTTCTTCTATCATTGATGCTACGCTCTAGGATATCTTTTCCATTTCCAAGATTCTACCGTTATTTTGCTACATTCAAAGATCTTCCCTTCGATTTTCCAACATTGCACCATCATTGGAGCTATTCTCCAAGATCTTCTTTTTAATTTTCTACCGTTCTACCACCGTTGATGCTACGCCCCATGATCTTCCCCACGTTATGGAAGACATGGGTGGCATATGGTTTGCCACATGGTTTCGTAAGACACAATAAAATCCTACCTATCCAACCGCCAATTTTTTTTAAAATCCAATCGATTTTTTTCAAGATGCCAACTCTGGCATATATTTCTACCAGCACGCAGCCACTCGCAGCTACTCGCAGCCACTCGCAGCCACTCGCAGCTGCTTGCAGCAACTCGAGTGGCCGCAAGTGGCTGCAAGTGGCCGCAAATGGCCGCAAGTGGCCGCAAATGGCCGCTCCAGCCAGTTCCAAGCGAGTGGCCGCAAGTGGCCGCAAGTGGCCGCTCCAGCCAGTTCCATGTGGCCGCAAGTGTCCGCTCCCGAATTTCCACCGCAAGTGGCCGCCCAAACCAGTTCCAAGCAAGTGGCCGCAAGTGGCTGCTCTAACAAAATGCAAGCAAGTGGTCGCAAGTGGCCACTCCAGAAAATTCCAACTAAGTGGCCTCAAGTGGCCGTCCCATATATTTCCCAAGCAAGTGACCGCAAGTGGCCGCTTTCGGCCAAATCAATTTCCACCCTCAAAGCAACCTCTCTGTATTATTAATTATTTTTTTAAATAACATATTTTTTATGAAATATAATTTTTAAATATAATTTTTTA